GACTCAAACTCAATGGTAGTGCTAGTCTTCAGTAGAGATTAGTGATGTTTGCACTGTAGGTAATGCCGTTCTTATGGTCGGTGATGGCGTCAATGATGGCCCTGCACTGGCAGCAGCAGATGTTGGAGTAGCTGTTGGCTCGGGTGTTGACGTGTCTACTGAAGCCGCCCATGTGGTTATCCACAGCCTCAGAGGCTTAGCGCCGTTCATCGAACTCTCGAGGCAAACACTAAAGTGAGTTTTCGATGATATTTCGCAGCCGATGTTTTCCGTCAGTTTGGTCTGGTCCGGAGTCATCATTTGTTTTTTTTCAGGACTATTTGGCGTAATCTCTTCTGGGCTTTCATATTCAACATTATTATGCTGCCCTTGGCTGCCGGTATTCTGTATCCCTCCACTGGCATTACTCTCCCTCCCGAGGTGGCAGGAGCAGCCATGGCATGCAGCTCTCTAGTGGTCGTCACCAACTCTCTCAGCATTCAATATTGGACTAAGTCGAGGTATGGCCACGATGAGCAACTTACGAAGGCGATCCGGGAAGCGACAAGTGGCCAGGCTGGGAAGGAGTGATTTGTGATCAGTGAATTTGCACGCTATGCCCTATTGCATTTTTCTATTATTGACAATCTTAATGTACCTTCATTCTTGGGGCATATCCAATAATGGCGATCTCGGCTAAACCGCATACATTTCATCAGGCTGTGAAGCAAAAGGCGATCTGCAGTTTCCACCACACGCGAGTGTTGGGTTCACGATAGTGTTTTAGTCCACTGGTCATAGAAATGGCTAACACTTGCCCGTAGGCTTTTGGTGGGATATTTAACTCTCCTAGTCAGAGCCTTGTCTGAGAAAATCGATAAACGGTCGGTCACCGATTGTGAGTGGCCTGTTAGAGATGGCATTGGTAGTTGTAGTACTGGCCTTGGTCGCAATGAATGAGATCCGGGGACCAGTCGGGGTCCGGTGCGCTCGGATCGAGGTGTAACTATTACTATTAGGTTCCGCAGGATCAACTTCCATGGTTGATTGAGATTGACTATTCCCAACGAGAATTCGGCTGTCGAACTCGGGATTGGGGATATTCAGCTTCATGCTGTTGACCTTGGTTCTACACTGTTATTAAAGTCGTAGTTCTTGTGAGGAGCTTCTCGATAAGGAGGGTATCCCTTGGAAGGATCTAGTCAGCGTCTCAATGCTGTGTTGTCTTCTGTTGAGTTCGTATCAGTTGACGTCAATGGGCACGTATGACGACGGTAGAGAATAGAAGCCTTCCATGCTTGGTAAACGATATTTTACTCGACGTCTCAAGTCACCGTTTCGCTGATTAATGCGAAATTTGTTGCCAGTTTAAGAGCCTGATGCGCGCTCATTATGACTGTGCCTGGGATTGCCAGGGATGACTTTTCTAGGAATCTTGAATACCCTCCATCGCTGAGTACACTAAAAGGGTAGATCATGGAACAAAGGTTGTCCCTGGTAAGATACTCTACCTCAGGATACGCGCTAAGCTGCAGACCTACATGCTGTATTCACCAATCATTCTGTGTTCCTGTATGATAAATGATAGTAGGGTATGTATTTAGTACCTGGTTAGTATTCGTTGCAGTTCAACTTTTTTTATAAATGTTTGCATCAATATTTAGTCATACCCCTGCTGCTAAGAGTGCAACCAAGGACACCAACGCTATTGCTTCTCTATTGGAGGCTGCTTATGATGGTGACGTTGAGCGTATGAAGGAGTTGTTATCTCAGCATTCGGACCTCACTGTGAACACTTCTGATTACGACAAGCGTACTCCCTTACATTTGGCTGCTGCTGGTGGTCATATTGATGCTGTTAAGTATCTCATCTCGGAGGGTGCTCAGTTGAAGCCTGATCGTTTTGGTATGCTCCCCATTCATGATGCGGTTATCAATAATCATACTGGTATTAAAGATTTGCTCGCCGAACTCGAACTGAAGCCTGCTGATGATGATATGTGTTATTTGCCTCCTGAGAAGCTTGCTGCCTTGAAGGAGCAGGTGAAGCATTCGGACATTTCTTTGTCCGCTGAGGAGTTGGAGACTAAAATGATTGAGGTTTTCTCCATCAACATGAAGGAGGGTATATTGGCTGCAGCTTCTCTATGGAAAGAGATCCAATATTACTTCCTGGATCTCGGTCTCCATCCCACTTACTTCAAGCACTTCACGAGTAATGAGATTGCCCGTCATATCCGTTGCCTCTTGGCCGCTACGAACGTTGCCCAAACTACTAGCTCCGATTACATCCACTTTGAAATTGAGGATGACGACTCTGCGTTCTATCTCACCACGATGGAAGCTGAGAAGGTTGCACTCATGGATGGTAGAATCGCCAAGTACGTGTCCAAGTTTGGTGCTGCTGATGGTTTCTCCATCACCTTCATGAAGTCCGAAAAAGCTGCCACGCCTGAGGGTAAACTCCAACTTGGCATTTTCGTCGTTGAGAAGAGGAAGTACACCACTGCTGCTTCTGAGGAGATGATGGATGAGAGTGATCTCAAGCGTGTGGCTAATACGAAGTTCTTGGAAGAGAGGAGTCCCGAAGTTCAGCAATACTATCAGTCTCTCATCAATGAGGTTATGTCTACTCGTAACTCTGTGGTGAAGGTTTTGGATCCCCCAGCTCATATGGTCCAAAAGACCGGAGCCAAGATGCTGCAATTGGCTGCTTATGGTGATGTTGAGCATTCCGGGAATGCGTACATCTCAGAAGTTAATGAGTGCTTCCGTTCCAACGATATCACTCCTAAGAGGTTTTATGTCGACACCTTCGCCAATGGTATCATCGTCTACACCTGCTTCTTTGATCCTTGTGCTCAGAAGAAACTCGAGCAGCTTGCTCAAACTCTTCGTTATGTTTGCCATTTCAAGCACACTCCGAGGAAGTCCGCATTGGTTTGGGATCTTGTATTGGAGAATAAGATAACTCCCGAGCATGCTATCTTCCTCATTACTGCGGCCAAGTTCATCTTCTCCTTCTTCCCCAAGGAGACTCAGGAGTATCTTACTTTGGCTGAGTACTTCAAGAATGATCCTTCCAAGAAGAGTGAATTGGATACTTTATTCCGGAACACTATGTCCAATGCTATCACTTACGAAAGGATCTATGCGGCTCTTACTTCCAACTATACCCTCACTCTACCTATGTTCGACGACTTCAAGAAGGTTGCTGCTGGTGAATGCAAGCCCTTCTATAATGAGGAATTGGCCGCAAAGATTGATGACCAAGTTGGATCCCTTCTCGATGCGAAGATCTTGAAGACTCTCTTGAAGCTCAATGCTCATCTACAGATGACCAACTTCTTCAAGCCTACTGGAACAGCTTCTGCAATCGCAATGAGGTTCGACGGCGAGGTCTTGGCTGATCGTCCGAGGACCCTCTTCCCCACCATCCCTTATGCCGTCTACCTTGTCGTTGGCAAGAGCTTCTATGGTTTCCACATTCGATTCACTGAGATTGCTCGTGGTGGTATCAGACTTATTCTATCAAGGGACGGACGGGTGTACAAGAAGAACTGTGCTACTTTGTTGGAGGAGAACTACAACTTGGCCTTCACTCAGCAGTTGAAGAACAAGGATATCCCCGAGGGTGGATCGAAGGGTACCATTCTCATGGATGTAGACTCTCAGAATTTGAACACCAGTGGCCGCGAGGCTTTCAATAATTACGTCGATGCCCTTCTCGATTGCATCCTCTCCAAGGAGACCGGTATTTACTCCAATCTGTCCAAGCCTGAGATGCTATTCTTTGGCCCTGATGAGAACACTGCTGGATTCATGAAGTTGGGTGCTCTGAGAGCGAAGGCTCGTGGTTACACATATTGGAAGTCTTTGACTACCGGCAAGTCTGACGTTCTCGGTGGTATCCCTCATGATAAGTACGCCATGACTACCAACTCCATCCATCCTTACGTTACCGAGCTTCTGGAGAAGTTGGGTTTGGAGGAGTCTAAGCTTACTAAGGTCATGTCCGGTGGCCCCGATGGTGATCTTGGCTCTAACGAGATTTTCATCTCTAAGGATAAGACGATTGCTATTTGTGATGGTACCGGAGTGGCTTATGATCCTCAAGGATTGAATAGAGAGGAGCTCACTCGTCTTGCTCATCTCAGAGTTGGTGTTGCTAACTTCTCTCGGGATAAGTTGTCAAGTGATCCGAAGGCATTCTTGGTTACCATTGACGATAAGGATGTAACTCTTCCTAATGGAGATCATTTCAAGACCGGTATTGAAGTTCGTAATCACTTCCCGGAGATGGAGTACTTCTCTGCTGATCTCTTCATCCCTTGTGGTGGTCGTCCTGGTACTATCAACATTGGTAACGTTGATAAGACTATGTTTAATCCTGAGACTAAGGAGCTCAAGTTCAAGTATGTCGTGGAAGGTGCCAACTTGTACTTCACTGATGATGCTCGTAGATATCTCGAGGATGCTGGTGTGCAACTATTCAAGGATGCTTCTACCAATAAGGGTGGTGTTACTTCCAGTAGTATGGAAGTGTTCGCCGCTCTTTGCATGGATAAGGCTGATCATGATAAGTTCCTCTGTGCTCGTGATGAGACTTCTACACCTCCCGAGTTCTATGAACAATATGTCCAAGAGATCCTCGCCGCCGTCCGCCATAACGCCAAGATGGAGTTCAACGGCATTTGGAAGACTAACCATGAGGTGAAGTATCCTGATGGATCGAGGTACATCCGCAAGACTGATGCTACCATCTTATTATCGAGAAAGATCAACGACATGCAGACCTACGTCCTCGGTGTACTCGAGAAGCACGATCCTGAGAATGATTGGATGATTCGTGCTGTCCTCAGACGTTGTGTTCCTAGATTGCTCCTTGTTCATTGTGGTTTGGATAAGATCATCGAGAACACTCCTGAGGCTTACCTCAATGCTATGGTAGCTACTTGGATTGCTGACGAGTTTGTCTATGCTAACGGGCTCAAGACTAGTGAGTTCGGTTTCTTCCAATTTATGCGTTCCCTCCAAGATGAGTCCAAGGGTGAAGTTACTCCCTCAACCATGTGAATATTTTATCATCACCGTTTGTTCTATGTTTAATAACAGGCAACATCAGTTGCCATTCATTTTTATGATTAAGACTGGCATCCTCGCTGGTACGCATTAGTATGAAATCTAGCTTTGAGTTTGTCCGTCAATGTCAGTTAGTCAGTTGCTCAACTACGTCGGTTTGTCGCTCAAGTATCAACTCTGGCCGCAGGAAGGCTCTGTGGCAATCAAATTGCTAATCTGTGGTGTCTCTTGACTGCCACACTTG